TAGAAAAACACTAAGAGCTAGTGCAAAACATTTACCAGCAAGGTAATGTACATGTATTACGGCCACAATCAGTTCACTACAAGAAAAACGGTTAATAGCGGCGACAACCACTATTACCGGCGACATGAGTTTATGTCGTCGGTAATAGTGGTTGTCGCCGCTAATAGCGACGCCGCTAATAGCGACGCCGCTAAATGTATTTCGTAACGATCCGTGTGACTTATGATTTCGTAACCATAACCGTTGATTGGTCCTTACATCCAACGATAGTATCGGCGACATTAATAGCGACGACACTTGTCGCCACTAATGCTCGAAAATAAGGTCCGCGAAAAAGTTCCCTCCAAGGCATCGCCTCTAATAACCAATAGTCGCCGTTATTTCTTTCGCGTCGCTGGTAATAGCTGTCGCCGGTAAAAGTCATCACATATATACTCCTTTGGAGCTTTTTTTCTTCCCTTTTTTGCTTCCATTCTCTCTCGATCGATTCCATCTTCCTTCTTCTGATTCTAGTGATCTACGACGACTTTCCATCACCGGTTCGGATTTGGATTTCCACCGGTTCCATCTCCATTAACCGGCGACGCCTTTCCATCACCTGCGACGTATCTTCTCTGGAGACTAAGGTCCAATTCCACCAACTAAGGTACAATTCTTTCCTAATTTCTCTTTCTCTTTTTCTTGTAATGTCGGTTTCCACCTTATAGTTGAGTTAATTGCAAAAACAACATCGATTTCAGTTTTTTTTTCAGTTGTTGTTGTCAGTGGATCGATTACACCCACCACTGCACCACCATGTTGATTTTCCGGCCACCACAACTTCCTTTCCCCCTTAATTTCGAGATTATTTGAAAAATTCATGTATTTGTGTCTGTTATGTGAAATTAGCAATATGTGTGTATATTTAGTATATATATGTTATTTGCATGATATATGTATGTGAATGTATACATATTATGTTTTTGTATTTATGAAAACATGAATGAGGAATATTGTATATGTGTATAGTGCATGTATATGTGTATTTGTATGTATGTGTGTATAATGTATATTTCTGTGTATGAAATGTGAATTGTATGTATGTATGAAATGTGGATTGTATTCAATGTGTATATTGGAATGTTATAGTGGAAAAAAGAACAAATAAAGTAGGATGCTATTATTGATAATTATATTTAAAGTATATGTGTATTTGTATGTAATGTGGATTGTATGTGTGTATAATGTGTATTTTTGTAGGATGTTATTATTGAGAATGTTATCATTGTAAGATGCTGTTATTGAAAAAAAAACAAATATGTAGGATGCTATTATTGAGAATGCTATTTTTTGTGTAAAAAACAAATAAGTAGGATTGTAATAAAAACAAATAAAGTAGGATTCTATGTATTGTATATTTGTAATAGAAATTGTATCTATATATCTTATAATTTTGCAGGAAATGATGTCGATATGGCTCTTGTTTTTGTACACCATGGTTGTTGTTATGGGCCGTGGACAAGGGGGTGATGGAGTTACGGACCCACCTTTCCTAGGTGGTAGAGGTGCTGGTCATCATGAGCAGGATGGTAAGTATTATTATGAATTTTTATTTACTATTTTTATTCAGTTATTACAAAATACGATTTTTAATAATTTTTAATTATATTTGTAGTTGCGTCACAGAGGAGAGTCCGAGGAAAGGTAAAAAAACCTTAAGCTCGAAAGAGCGTGGTTACAGAATAAGGGCAAACCGATTGACATGGACTATGATAGGGATATGACATATGATCCCGTAGGAGAGCCAAATAACATGTCTGCACGTGAAGTTAGGAAAATAATGTTGCGGATGGTTGCTTTGATAACTGGACATGGAAAAAAGTTTCCCCTGCGATAAAGGATACAGTAAAACAACATTTAGGGGTAAATTATTTATATAAGAATATTTTATATGGTTAATTATGACTTGTTTTTACTTAGCTAACATTTTTTTTTGTTTTTGTAGACAAAGTTTGATTTGGATGGGATGTCCCGGGATCCATACGATGCTATGTTGTTAGAGAGTTTTGAAGCCGCTTTGTTAAAAGGTTATAGAGGCTGTAAAGCTGATGCAAAAGAATATTTTTGCAAGTCGGAGGGTATGAGGATATCGCGAGAGCATTAGGTAACCCCCACATGATATGGAGGTCGATAATTGGAGGAAAGCAGCTGAGTATTTTCAAACGGATGAGCACATAGTTGCTTCAGAAAGGAACAAAAAAAGTTCGTGAAATGCAAACCATCGTGAACCGTGGGGGGTCGAGTTCGTATAGGAGTACTTGCTATAAGAAGGTAACATAGGATATTTGTAATTATTTATTTAAAATATAATCTAAGTTTTAATGTTAAACAGAGTCTGAAGAGAGTGGAAACGTTTCACAAGGCTCATATCGATAGGAATGGTGTATTTGTTACTGTCGAGGGAGAACAACAACACGTAAGTATTTAATTATAATTTTATCTCATAATTAAGTGTTTATTT